AAGACCTTCCTGGATTCTTGCTGGTTACCTCCATCCAAGTCAAGCTTTGTCCAGCACATGATTGTAAATGCTGAAATGAACTCAACACAGATAGCAAAGACCCCAGAGAGCCAAAATAACTTTTGGTCAAATCTCAGTTAGTAGAAAATTTTGAACAGTGTACTAGACAAGAATTTGAGGAAAGGTTACACAACTAAAGTGTTACAGAAAATCTCTGCAGGCTTTCTCTAGAGGTGAAACTTACAAGTGATATACACACAGCCTTGAGATGATGACAATGATGGCGATGACTATGACTGCTACTGTTATTATATCCTATCCTATCTTGCCTTATTTTTTTCCAGTTTGGAATTCAAGGCAACTTACAACATACAAAACACATAGGTAAAACTCACAACATGCAAAAATTAAAAGGTAAGTCCTCTAACTGCGGGCTGAACACATCTATTAGTAAGAAAACACAATGAATCCATGGCGGCATAAAGGAGTTGTGTCACTTGACACCCGAGATGCCAGATGCACTGTCACTGCAGTCACCAGAAGTGAAACTCCATTCCAGATGCATAGTTACAACCACAATGGTTGTATACATGGATAGAGGAACCACATTTTACTAAGGAATTTGTTTGAGAAAATGTAGGTCTTAAGATGCAGAAATGCCTCAATAGGGAGCTGCCTTGTACCAAAATGAGATGATGGTTCTACCCAAGACTGCATTGCCTACATGTGCTTTCCCCAACCCAGTGGCCTCTAGAGATGTTGGACAACAGCTACCTTCACTTCCAGTGACTGTGACTGTAGTCCAACACCTTTGGTGAGCCCCAACTGGGGAAGACAGATTTACACTGGCAAAGTGGTTCTTCAGGCAAGAGTCACTTTTCTCCAAGATCAAACCTAGGAGCTTCTGCATGCAAAGCATATGTTTTGCTACTGAACCTCAGCTCTTCCTTTGAGGGATAGCACAGCTTATTTATATCTCCCGGTAAGGAGTCTTGTTCATACAGGTCATTACAGGAACAAAGCAAGCCGCAAACAACATTCAGATGGAAACTCATCTCTCCAGAGAGTCCACTGGATGCCAAAGTGGCTTTCAAACTACTGGGTGGAGTTGAGAACACTCTCACTGGGAGAATAAGCGTTAGCCCAAATGGCAGTGCAAACTCTTCCTCTTGAACCAAAAAGCAGTGATGCAATTCTGAACAGCTTAAAATGCAAAAGAAAAATCAGTATGGTTTTTGGTATTAGTATCAGTATGATTAAGGGGATGTTGCTATACAGGAAAGAACTAAGGACATACTGAGGATAGAAAAATGTCATTGGCACCCATTCAATGACTCAACTGATTAATACTGAGGCTCTTTGGAATAGTGGTTAACAAACTGTCCTGGGTGGAGTTGCTCTCTCCCCAGAGAAGCAGGTGTGCAGCTTGGGAGTAATCCTAGCATCTTTGTTACTGTGAGCTCTGTGATGCAGAGTGCTGGACCCAACTTTGACTCTTTTGGTAGCTTCACTCTTCTCTGGGTAGGTATAACCTAGGCCAGGGGTAGGCAACCTTTCCCCTTTAAGGGCCGAGGGACTTCAGCTCCCAGAATCCCAGGAGCTATTGGCCAACATGGGACTATTGGCCAACATGGCTGAGGCTTCTGGGAGCTGAAGTCCCTCGGCCCTTAAAGGGGAAAGGTTGCCTACCCCTGACCTAGGCTGTATCTATTATACTGCAGAATTAATGCAGTTTGACATGGCTTTAACAATGTTATGGAATTCTGCAATTTATGGTTTTGTGAGATACTTAGCCTTCTTTGTCAGAGAGCTCTGGTGCCACAACAAATCCCAGAATTCCATAGGATGGAGCCATGATAGTTAAAGCATTGTCAAAGTGCATTCATTCTGAGTGTGGCAGCAGCTCTAGCCACAGTGCAGTTCATGTACTGATAACTTTCTGAAACATAACAGTCTGGAAAATCAACATGCAAAGGGATTTTGTAGCATCTTTGAGACTAACTGAGTGAAAGTTGTTGTATCATAAGCTTTAATAGACTTGTTCCACTTCCTCAGATGCATGGAGTCAACTGATGTCCAGGAAGGACCTTTATAATCAGACTGTATGAATAGCCATAGAAATATAAAGTTTGTGGGAATGGTGATGAGGTGCCAGGTTCAGTTTTAACTGTTGCCATTGAGAGACAAAGGCAGGAGGAATGATGTTACCTAAGTCCAGGATGGGTGGATGACCATATTAATAGTGGAGGGAGTTTTGGACTGTGGTATGTACAGGTTGGGAACTGGAAGGCGATATGATAAACTGTTCAAGAGCCTCCTCATGAGGCTGAGGTGTTAACAGTTTTATAATAAGTGTATTGTGCCAGGAAACCATCTTCGCTCTTCAGTCCACTGTTGATGGATTGAAGCTTGTGGATATATTCAGCTGCTTTTCTTTCCAGTCTTCAAAAGGTGTTTTAGATTTTCTTTTTCCTGAGTAAATCATTGTGTTGTCATCTGATTGAAAATTACCCATTCCTGTCCACTTTAGCTTACTCACTCCAAATATTGCAAAGTTTATACATACCTGTTCTTGTTTTACAATGTCTAGCTTCCCCAATTCTTGCTTCTTACATTTTTTGTTTCTATGATATGTGGTGCGCAGCTTCAGTCTTTCCTTTCACTTCTGGGCATGCCAACAGCTGAACATCCTTTCAGCATGAGTCTAGTTGTGTCATTAGCCACAGCACTATTCCTACTTTTCCTCTGCTCTTCCTCAGTAGTTAACTGAATGCCTTCTGGCCAGAATTCTCATCTTCTGGCATTATTTCTTCTTTCATTTTGGATTGTCTCATCATAGGGTTTTCATGGTAAACGTCATTCAAAAGGAGTCTACCATGTCTCCTTTTTATTAGCAAGTGTTAACTATGCTGTCACTGCTGTTGTCTCTGAGAGATCCACTACCAATGTCACCCTCCACTACTGCTACTGCCCAGTAGTTGTTTGGCACATTGAGTCTGGCTTCTCAGCAAAAGCCTATCTGATATGGGAGATCTCACCAGTGCATCAGCATAAACTCTTGTCTCACAGGACCATGCAATCCCACCAACATGGCAACATAATGGAGTGGTGGGAACACTTCTTACAGTTCTCTTAAAGAAATGCTGGGCAACTGTGCAGGGCAGGGGACAATATTAGCCCTGGGGACCACCGCTCCAGCCACACCAGCCCATCTTGGAGCACCAGACATGAAGTAATGTGATATGATTTCTGGTTTCCATTTTTAGTTTAGCTTAAGGCTGTGGGGCTTAAGGCTGCACATCATGAGGCCCATGGCCTGCATTTCCCTCACAACTGTTTTAAAGGTACAGCAATCATGAGTGCTGTTGCAATCATGCCCCATTTTCATATCTGAAAATTTGGGTGGCACAATATCCAGGTATTTAAATCTGGTACAAATCTGTTTCAATCTGGTTCAAATCTATGACTGGCCCTTTTACTTGTGGAGATAGGAAGAAAAGCATGCAACTGGATTTTCTCACCTACTTGTTCCCTAAAGAGGTTTGCTCCTGTCATGCTCTGCCTGGAGGACTCAGAGGATGAGCCAGAACCTCCTCTGGGACCTGAGCCTGCAGCTTTGCCAGCTCCAGCAGAGCCTGTGGTCTTCCAGGAGGCTCCGCAGCCAAGCCTCCTGGAAGCAGAACCTTCAGACATGGAGGAGGATCAAGGGACTGTGCCTACCTTCAGCCAGCGTCAAGCAGAAAGGGCAGACTTTCAAGGAGACTTTATGAAAAATGCCAGAGTAATCAGCCTCAGCTGAGCTCCTGCAGTTTAGTAATTTAAACAGATGCAGAAGGGCTGCCTCAGTGCCAGAGATTATCTGAGCTTCCTAGCGAAAGCCTCTGGCTCTCTTTGTCCCTTGGCTTGAAACCTTGACTCTCGGAGTGCTGACTTATCTTGAACTCCTGGAACCCTTGACCTTCGGACTACCTTACCACTCTGCTTCTCTAGAATCCTAGACCTTCGGACTGCTTGACCATTCATTCGTTGGCTGGACCCTTGGATTGGCAATATGGACCCCTTGCTTTCTTGCTTTGCATTGGCAAAAGACTTTAATTTGCTTTCCACCCTCACAAGAAGCTGCTATGAGTCTCTTTCCTGGACAGCTTCCATCTTTCATTGTTATGGATGATGTTCACAAAAGCCACAGAATAATTAACAAACACAAATGTCATGCATTTTTTATTTTATTTATTAATGTTCAGTTCAGTTGCATCACATCCAAAACACATAGAACCTCTATTCGGTTCTCGCTGTTCTACAATTAATCTCCCTCCCCACATAAGCCTCCTGCTTAAAAACGCCTGAGGACAGGCCCAGATAGAACTTGCCTTAATGCAGTGATTCTCAAACTCTGACCTTCCAGGTGTTTTGGACTTCAGCTCCCAGAATCCAAGACTATTGGCCAAGATGGTAGAGGCTTCTGGGAACTGTAGTCCAAAACACCTGGAAGGCCAGAATTTGAGAATCACTGCCTTAATGTGAGTACTTGAGAAGCTCCAGAAGGATCACGGAGAATATTCCAGTGCATATTTTGGTTTTTTTAACCACTTCTGCTACTGTTGAGTCTCTTTTATCTTTCTGGTGATTCCATTGTTTGTGCAGAAGAAACAAATACCTTGATTGTAAAAATACCGCTTTCCCCCACCAGAAACACTTTCTGTTTCTCAGGCCTTCTCTTATGAGACCAATTTGTTTTTAGATTGTACTTTTGAAGAAATAGGGTATTATATTATAATTATATTTTGCTGCTGCATTTTAACAATTTACTATTTCACAGTTTAATCTACAATAATATGTTGTTGTTCCTGTATGCCTTCAACTCATTTCCAACTTATGGTGACCCTAAGGCAAACCTAGTATGGGATTTTCTTGGCAAGATTTGTTCAGAGGAGGTTTGCCATTGCCTTCACCTGAGGCTGAGAGAGTGTAACTTGCCCAAGGTCATCCAGTGGACATCCTGGCTGAGCTGGGAATTGAACCCTGGTCTCCAGAGTTATAGTCCAACACTCAAATCACTACACAACTTTGGCTCTCTACCAAGTATATATTTTTGTTCTATTTAACAGACTACTTTTGTTTATTCATCTTCATATTATGCTAGGTAAATCATTTCCTCTTGGACTGCATTTACTGTGATTGCCTCTTTTTATTGTTGGGAATTCTCTCTGCTCTGATATGACTTTCTCCAGGAGCTGATGCTGTGCCAGGGATTTGCTGTTTCATTCTCAGCTGATGACTCACATTATATTTCTCTGAACCTAAAAGGCCTAAACAAAGTGGGGAGGAGGAGAACTGCAAGTGTAATTGCTTCTTCTCCCTGTGTCCTTAAGCAGAGTACTCTTTTTTTCTGTGACTGCATTGTCTCTTGTACTCACACAAGCCTCTTTAGAAACTGTGCAGAAACTCCTACCAAGAGAGAGATATGGGTTTGCAACTACATTATTTCTTTTATCAGTGGTGGGGTGGGGTGGATTTTGCAGGCAAGAATCTCTTTCTCCAATAACAGCACTCATGTACTAGCCAGACGAGGGAGCTGTTCAACAAGACAAGAATCCATGGAAAGATTATTATAAAAACTTAAAGGGAGCTGTCCAACCAAGTAGCTAGACTTTCAGAGCACACAAGGAGGTTCAATGAGAAGAGGCTTTGACCAAGTAGGATCCAAGCAGCAACTGCACTTTCTTTCCAATTAGCCCTATGAAGCCTTTCTTGGTGCAACTCCATGGGCTAATCTTAGTCATAAGCTTAAAGAAAACTGGGAAAAACTATTAAGAAGGGAAGGTCCCGACTGCAATTTAATAATAATAATAATAATAATAATAATAATAATAATAATAAAGTTTATTTGTATCCTGCTTATTGCCAGACAATCCAAGCGGCTTACAATAAAACTTTTAATGCTTGTTTCCACTTGTTCTCATTGGCATCAGCATCCACAGGGTCACCATGAATTGGGGTTGACTCCAATGCAGTTAACAACAACAAAGGATACATAAGCCCTAAAATATACCTGCACTTTAATGCTTATTTCCACTTGTTCACATTGGCATTGCTGTTTAGGGGTCCAAATGATGACTTGTGGTGTCTCTTATTAGGATGCTGCTGCACTGGCTTCCAAGATGTAGCAGGATCTGAGATTGAGGTATATTTTAGGGCTTCTATCCCCTTTGTTGTTGCTGTTAACTCCTCTGGAGTAAACCCCAATTCATGAGACCCTGTGGATGAGACATCTCCAAGACCCTGTGTCCTCCACTACTCCGCTTAGGTTCTACAAAATCTTATCACCAAGCTCCCTAATGAGTCTAGCCATCTAGCGTGCCGTTTTCCTCTTTCTATTTCCTTCCACCTTTTCTAGTATTATTGTCTTTTCTAATGAATCATACCTTCTCTTGTACAGTTAGCCCTCCATATCCACTTATTTTTCTATCCACAGATTAAAGCATCCTTGGAAAAATATGGAGTTCACACACACACCCCACCAATCCAGATCAGTCCTCATAAAGGAAAACATTTTAAAAATAACACAGAGATGATATCTCACCCCTGTGCAATTAGCTAGGATCACAAACACCACTTCACCCAGGTGTTGGAGGAGGTGTAGCACTAAGGGGACCTATATACATATATGGTTAAAATGCCCCAAAATACGTAAATCTGGTCTGATATAGTAGACATCATCTCCAAGATAACAAAACAAAGGGTGAATTTTTGCCCAGGTCTACTACTTCTATCACTATTCCTTGCAGAGAATAAAATGCTGAAACACAAAGCTTTGATCATCTTCCTTATAGCAATAGCCAGATTGGAAATTGCTAAGAACTGGAAAACAGGTGAATTTTTAATAGAAAATTGGTGGAGGAAAATCTGGGATATATAGCTGATGGAGAAACAGACAATGTAAGAAAGTCAAAAGGACAAATTGGAAAGACATCATTTACTGAAAAATTGTTCCTTTTCATAGAGTACATCAACAATAATTCGTGTCAGATACAACTTCCACCACACCATCAAGCTTTCTGAAAAGACATTCTACATGAAGACTCAACTGTGTCAGGACCTGATTAATGTTAGAACCTCATTAACACTGTTAATAATAAAAAATAATAAATTCCCAAAAGCAAACTTTGATTTTGCCATTTTATATAAGGGACACCATTTTGCTATCGCATGGAATATAGTGGGAATTGCGCGTCCATGGATTTTGGTATCCACAGGAGGTCCTGGAACCAACTCCAACAGATACTAAGGGCCCACTGTACTTTCATTTATCTCCTGATTGAAGGGGAATCTCCAGAGGCTGCTGGATTATAATACCCATCATCCCTGATCACTTACCACGTTAGTTGGCCTGATAGGAGGTGTTGTCCAATAGCATCTGGAAGTCTGCCCTGTCCCTGCTTCACCTTGTCCATTTTTGGCTATCTGAAAAGAGCAAAATGGAAAACAAATAAACAAAAAACAAAATCCCAAACCCTACTATCTTAGTTCAAATAAAGTTAACAAGGAAACATCTAACTAATATTTTAATAGCTAAATTAGCAGGTCACAGAAACGTGCTCTTAGAGATCTCGACAGATTCATCCACAGCCTTGAACAAGCAATCTTTTATAGCTCTAGTAAGAGTAGCAACAACAACAGCAAAATCCCTTTAGATTTCTTGCAGACTTTTGACTTCCTGTTAATTTCTTTTTCCTGCCTCAGAATATTGAAGCTCATATTACAACTCTACCAAAATCTTTCTAATGCCTCATTGATTAGCCATTAGGGATGCTGGGAGAAAGGATTATATTGCATAGCCCTTGACAATCTTTCTTTTAATGTTGGCTCAGCAGGGTGGTTTGGATTTTTGTTTTGTTTTGCATACGAATAAGACTTATAGAGTACCTTGTATAAATCTCAGTTAGAATCAAGCTATTTATTACCTGCACAACTAAATGTTTCCAAGTGCATTTTTGCTCAGGTGAACACTGGAAAACTGTCCTGGGAGAATCATAGGAAGGAGTTGTGCTCATTTCTGCAGGTGATGGTTCTTTCTCTTTTCCTTCCTCAATCCACATCAGCAGGATCTCTGAAGATCCTGAAGATGGAAGGGCTCTGCCTACCCATTCTCTCCTACATGACATCAGATCCCATTTGATCACTAAAGGGGGGGTTGCAGACTGCCAGAAATAGTGCAAATTGAGTCCTCTTTTAGGGTTAGGGAATCATGGGAACTGTATTTTATTGTGGCATCAGAGCTCTCTGACAGAGAAGGCTCAATGTCTCAGGGAAAAAAACAATTCCCATGATTCCCTAGCACTAACCCTAGCCCTAAAAGTGGACTCAATTTGCACTATTTCTGACAGTCTGCAACCCCCCTAAGTTAGGCAGGGTCAGTCCACATTTGTAGCTTTGACTTCTATGGATTTGATTATTTGTGGATTTAATACATTCTCTCTAGGAATCTCTAGGTCCTCCAGTGTGACTCTGTGGCCAACTTCTGGAATCATGAGTTCTAGAGAGAACACTTCTCTAGACATTTGTAGCTCCTCTAGCACAATTCTATGGTCGACGTCTGGCAGATATTGATCACCGAATTGCTCTGAAGGACCTAGAAATTCCTAGAGAGGTTTCTCTTAGGTTTAAAAAATAGTTGTTTTTCATTTTTTCCCCACTTTCACAGGGGTCTTGTGTCCCTAACCCAAGCAAATGTATACAGCCCACTGTATATTCAACGGAAGGCAATGGCAAACCACTGAGTTCTCCTTGCCTAAGGAAACCCTATGAAATTAGTGGAATTGTCATAGGTAAAATCATAGAATCATAGAGTTGGAAGAGACCCCAAGGGCCATCCAGTCCAACCCCCTGCCATGCAGGAACTCCCAATCAAAGCATCCCCAACAGATGGCCATCCAGCCTCTGCTTAAAGACCTCCAAGGGGTCACTAAGGGGTACAGGGAGTGTGGGCCACACCAGGTGACACCCTAAGCATACGTGACACCACTGTTCCCCAAACATCTGCCTTTTGGAAGATATGGGCTGTGGCGTTTGCCTGTGTCCCTTTAAAATGCTGGAGCTCAGCGGAAAGATGATGTGACTGGGGCAAGACTCAGCAGGAGGAGACAGCAGAGGCTCCAGGTTTGTAGTTTTTAAAATAAAAATAAAAATTTTAAATTTTCATTTAAAAAAATTTTAAAAAATATATTCTTTTAAATTTTTATTTAAAAACATAATGTCTTCCCAAATTTTCATTTTAAATCACAGGAAACTATGTACACGTAGATTTAGGCAGTGTGTATGAGATTGCAATTGAAAAGTATACTTTTAATTTGGCTCATGGTTTAGGTCACAATTCTTCCCATTACATTTCAAGGAATTACGATTTATGAGTAATAGTACAGTGGGCCCTTGCTATTTGCTGGGGTTTGTTTCCAGGACCCTCTGTGGATACCAAAATCCATAGATACTTGTCCCATTATATGCAATGGGGTAGTAAAATAGTATCCTTTATATAAAATAGCAAAATCAAGGTTTGCCATTTGGAACTTACCTATTTTTTAGAATATTTTCAAGACATGGATAGTTGAATCCATGGATTAAAAAATCCATGGATATGGATGGCCAACTGTACAAAGTACAATAACAGCCAAAATCCACAGAACAGTGGTATCTTTATTTGGCCAAACATGGCGTAAGCTTTTGGATTCTGTTTGGTGTGGAGTGGGAGGAGGTCAATGGAAGGAGGGTGACACAGTGAGGTATTGCACCAGGTGATGCCAACCTGAGGGATGCCATTGGGGCTGTGGAGTCCCTCAGAGTTCAGTCTTGTTCCCTGTGCTATTGAATATCTGTAGGGGTTGTTTGGAGTAACATTACTACCCCTCCTCAGAAAAAAATGATTAAGGTAGGATTCTATATGGTGTGGCATACAAGGAGGAGGTTCATGGAAGTATGTGTAGTGGGTAACACCATGAAGTACTGCACCAGGTGACGCACCTGAGCCCGTGAAGTCCCTGAGTTCAGCCTTGTCCCCTGTGCTGCTGAATATCTG